AATTTTAATTATTATTATCTAAAATAATACTGTTTTATGCATTAAACATGCATATATTAACTTTAAAATTACGGAAATGTATTTTTGTTTTAGTGTATAATAAATATATTATACCTAATAAGTCATAWGTGGTAAAATAATGATTTGATTTCAAACTTTGAAAGTGATACGGTATACGGTACCGGCCGTAGTTGCTACCCCTGTTGCTGTAATCACTCGGGATTTTCAAAAACATATCCATGCCACACATACAAAAACACTTGTTACAACCCTACACACTTAAAAAACCTACAAACTCGATACACAAAAATAAGCGCTACTGTACCATCCCAAACCCAATGGCCTATGTAGTATGTATACCTAATGGCCTTAGTCACCAGGCTTAAGATCAATAAAAATAATAATAATAATAGGTAATATTATTTTTAATTCCATAAAGCTTAGAAACAAGTAATCCAACTCCACTATATATGCTTTAGAAAACTGAGTATGAAGAGTCAACTCATAATTATTATAATTATTATCCATCGTCTAATTTTTAGGATGATTTCGCTTTCAACATAATCTACATTCTACGGCGTATAAGATTGAGTAGAATGTATGAAAAATTTACTGAATATGAAAAAAKATGGTCTTAAAGTACGTACCTATAAGTAATAGTAAATCCCATTAATCAGACTTTGAATGTCTGCRTTATTGAAGAAGAAAGGTGTGCGAGCACGTTTAATGAATTACTCTGTATGTTTCCATTATAAGTAAATTATAGTTGTTTTACTGTTATATCAACCATTTTCAGTTTTATAACATTTGAAATTCAAATAAGGTGAGGCTTAGAGCTTTTAAAATCTAAATAAATAAAGCACAAATAATATACGTGATGCAGTAATAAAGTTTGTTATTGATAAAATAATACATAATATATAATAGTTAGATAGATGCACCGATTATATATTATAATCTATAATATATATTGTTACAAACATTGAATCTTAACTATATAATAATAACAACGAAGGTACAATAGTTTATTTCTATAATATCATGTAGAATATTGCATAACGATAACTTAAAGAATGTTTATATCTTTTTTTTTACATTGACAGACACATTTTCGAGAAATGGGCAACTATTGAAAACCTATTATACAGTATATTAGTATTACTAGTCGGTGTAACTGACTAACGCACATTTATCGTCCAGCTTCTGGGTGGGAGTGTTACACGGGGGAGGTGTTGAGTTGGGGTTTTCCGTTGAGACGCACGCAAAACACTGCCCACTGCAGACGCAAGCCTTGTATTCACCGCAATTATTTATACAATCGTTTTGGGTGAGATACAGATTGTTATTGTCACTGTCCTGTGTACACAGGAGACACTGGAAATTCGATGAGTTGCTGATAGGGATGCACGGTCCTCCACTATCTTTGTGGCAGCCCGATTGCACGCAATCGCTACACGACTCGAAGACATTATCGTTATCGTCAGAGTACACGAAGACGATGTTCAAAAGTATGACGAATACTAACACGGGCACGACGGTGTACGGCAGAAACATTTTGGCTTTGCTGTTATTGTTGTTTTTTCGGACGGAATCAAGTCTGGTACCTAATGTGCGGTACTGCGATGTCTGTTATTTCGGAATCTGTTCCTCAACGATGACGAAGTTGATCTGGTCAATGCTTGCGCGTTAATATTTGATGGACTTACACTACAGTTCCGGTCGGATTACGCTTCGTTTTTATAGCCGAACGCCTGTCGGGTTCGCGATCGTGGTGTCGTTTAATTGGTCGGGTTTCGTCGTGGTAGAGACGTGCGATGGGCGGTCGAATCAACACGATAAAATTATTTTGTTTGACTTCCGTCGAACAGTGTGTCACAAATGTCCCGTTATATTGTAATTATCTCTGTGTTAAATCCTCCGCGTGATAACTATACGTTCTGTGGACGCGACATTGTTCAACAGCAATTCATTATGGAAATGTGCGACATAAAGTTTCAATTTCTTAACGGTTGTAGTGGTGATAAAACCATCACTCTAAATATATTGATGTGCCCACCCCACAGACTTAAACTTGAGGTGATTCGAGACATATAGGAAGTAATATATTATGCCAAATACTGCTATTATCTAAAATAGATAGGTATAACTAAAAAATAAATATTAGATTTGTGAGTAAATAGCATAAATTCATGATAATTTATTAATAAATAATAATTAACAAACAGTGGTATTCAATCCATAAGTACCTATCTATCTAAATATAGTTCTAGTAGTTCTATTAATCGTTAATTGTCGTAATAAATTWAAATATCTAATATATTGGTCCAAACGGTGCGTTCAACATTTTGAACTTAGAAAGACTATAAAAATTAAAAGAACTYCGCACCCGCATGTGTTGTCAACGTCTTACACATGTATACTACATAGCAAATTTTCGTTCACTATATAGTTTTAATAGTGTACTTTTGGTTTTGATATTAGAGTAAATTGCGAATGAGTTATGTGCATTGTGCATTTTCAAATATTTATGCATTATAAAATATTATATTTGTTGTACGGTTGTAACATATATTCAAGTCAAATATTTATTCGGGTACTCAAGTAGTACATAAGAGCTAAGAYAAGTGGAGCATCACAAATAATAATATTAATTATGATTAATACTACAAATWATACACATATATACATAATATTCTTGTATATGTTGTGTAGATTATTATTTCCATACTAAGTCTGATTTTTTTTTTATTCAATTATACAWTATATATCTAARTACATATTTTACATAACCTATGATCTAATTATTGTTCTTAGCCAACCCACAAAAACATGTATGATAACATTTTGTAATGTATAATTAGGTTATTGTATGTAGGTAGCCATACTAAAACAGAAATTTAATGTAAAATGTAAACAAAACAATATAGGTACAATGGTACAAATTATACAACATATGCTAAGAGTGAACTAATTTGACAACACTAAAACAAAATAAATTTCAAAAAACTCCAATAATAGTTGGGTACAATCAAATATTTAATTGAATAATAAATCTGCGT